ATGTGCTGAGTATGGGACTTTGTGGGGACACTGGCGCAAAAAGAGGGCAGATCTCCCAAGTCGGTTATTGACTTAGTGGTGGGGTCGTCCACCACACGACCTTAGGCCTATAAATAGGCCTTGAGCTGCATCGGTCTAAGCCATCGAGTTGTGCATAGCCTTGGCAATTTTCCAACAAGCAATTGATTAATTATAGATGTTGGTTGGACGTGGCCCGTAAACTCTTGTGTGTCGCCTTTGTGTGTTTGACTTGTGCACTATACACTATTCTAACTTTATATTGTGAGTCGAGTGTTTAGTGAGCGATAAAGGGTTGACTGTCTTCGCAGGAATCATGTCGCATAGGGCATAAAAAGGCAATAATACTTAACCTACAAATTACCCCCGTGAGAAGTGGTATCAGAGCCCACATTGGGTTCTGAACGCTGAAGCTTGGGAAAGATGGGAGATCTAATTCAACGTGATGACCTCGTAGTGTATTTCAAGGCATGAATTCAAAGGTTAGAGAACTTGGTGGGGTTACACCTTCAATGCCCCTATCAATAGTGATTTTTTAGCTTATGCAAACAACAGACGATGTGCTCGAAAATCTTCGCTTGAAGGCCGAGGGTTTGAAGACTTCGGTGAACTTATTCCCCAAGTGAAAAAGTGTTACCTAATAATCATAAAATTATACTATAGAGAATAGGCAACATTTACATCATGTTGTATCTGCTCGTGTTACCTGTTGTCGAAGATATCACTTTTGAGAGCTTCTAATAACACTTCTTCCAAGTGTTACATTGGGTTATCAATTGTAACACTTTGAAGTAACACTTCTAAAATGTTACATATAAAACTTTAAGTATCACATTTTCACCAAATGTAATATTTTTTAAGGATTCTTTGATTGTATGGTAGAACTTTACACCATAATTGTATCGTGGTCATTATTTTAAATAGCTCGCTATATAGCTTGTTTTTGGAAAAACGCAACGTTGCCTTATATATCTAGCGTTTTTCCTAAAAAGCTTACGCGGAATGATGAAATGCACGCTTTCTTATGTTATTTCACGCTATTGTGCGCTATATTTCTGCAACGACATCTAAACAATAAATTATTTAAAAGGACCAGAGTCATATTTACAAATGACAATTAAAAACTAAAAATTTTGATAATGATTTTAAATTAAAAGTTTGAAAATGCAAATCCTAAGTTGAATAGTGCAATATTTTTTAGTCTATTTTTGTTATATCATTATATTTTTCGATATTTGACATTTAAATAAAGAATAAAAAGTGCATATCTAATGGTTAAAATTAAGTTGTAATTAAAAAAATAATAATAATTAAAATGCATATATTTAAAATTATACTATGACTTATTTCAATATATTTTCGTCGTTTTTCTTTTTGTACTTTTTAGTATATTCGATTTATTATCAATTTATTTTATGATAATATTTTCATTAAACATTTGTTGGGATTAATCCTTAGATGTCATTTTTTAAGTCATTCAAATATTATGATAATTTTTGTAATCAACTATCCATTTTTATTATATGCAAATATACTTGTAATATTTCTATAAAAAAAATAAAGCTATACCCAAATAGCTTACGCAACATGCAACGCTATTTACGCTACGCAGTATAAAGACCAAAACGCAACACATTACGCTATACGAATTTTAAAACACTGGTCGTAGTAGACCCTTTACCGTATCACTTCTTAGAAATTTATGATCACTTTAAAATATCAAATGGTTAAGTTTAGAATGATTATGTAACACTTATTAATATAATGATACATATAAAGTAAATATTATCGAAAATGTCTATTATATATGAAATAGAGCAATAACAAGAAATATAATAAAAATTAACCAATAAAAAATACATATACATGCAGTTCAAAACAAAGTGAAAGTTTAATGGAAGACTAAGATTCCAAAATTCCTGCAAAACGAGGCTAACTAGCACGAGTACATATTGTAATCTATATGCCAGCATTAAAGTCCCTCATGCAACAAAGACAGTAACTAGAACCAGTAACAAAAGATAGAGATATATCTCAACAAAATCCTTAGCAAATTAAGTAACATTCCATCTCAATCTTCTTCATCTTCTTTCTCCATGATCTTGTCATTTCTATGAAAGGTTCCATCATAATCATTTGCTCCATCATCATTGAAGCGACCATCCTAAAATTCATAAAGTCCATCCACATAAGTCATTACAAATGTAATAGGATTACTCAAAAGTATACAATAATGACAAAATTTGTGTTATGACCTAATAGACATTCATGATGACAATAATTAAAAATTTACTTTGAATTTGCCCTTTGGCAAATCAAATAAAAAGTATAAAATGAATAAGCTAAATAAAATTAACAATTTCAGTATAACTATTTGTATGGCTATATCATCAATCCATACTTAAATTTGTCATTTTATTTCTAGGCAATTTAAACTATCATAACACATTACAAATCCTTCATGTATTAGCAAATTAAACTTTAGTAATGAGTTATTTAATTACTTGACTCTGTCCAATTTCTTTGATGCCTCCAGAAGACTTTTGATTGAGTGATAAGACTATAATCGAAAGAACCTCAGAAAGAATTTGATGTTTTAAGAGCTTCATAACTTCTCCTACTGTCTCTTTTAAAATGTCATCTCTAAACAATTGCATTATTTCATCCGGAATCAACACTCCACCGCCAGACTTAAGAGATTGTTTTCTTTTCTGGGTACACCTTCCCAAAAGTTCACACTTTAATGACTCCTGGACATTTTCTTTCTATTTGGTTAAAGATAAAAGTGTGTAAGTACAACAATAAGTCT